AATCTTTAATACATACGCGAAAACAAAGGGCTGGCAAAGTTATTCCTTAATTTGTCCTTTGGCGTTTTAGTTTCCTTTGCATTTGCGCATGGATACGAAGATTGGCCATATATTTCCAAATTTATTTTGAAAAATTTGATTTGAGTGAAGTTTAGTTTGAAGATGAAAATGTGTTTGGACATATGTTTCCAAAACATACTTCCCAACTTTATTTTGAAAAAACATGTATATTATGATACATGTTTTGGGTCGGCCCAAAACCAGCTATTGAACTGGTTTTGGGATTTGGAATTATGCCAAAATATAGGCCAAATCTATGGCCAAACATGTATTTGCCAGATAAAACCCAAATTTATTTTGAATAAATCTATGGCCAAACGGGTCCTTAGTATCCTTTTTGAAAATCCATTCTACGTGAAAATACGTTAATGGATGAGTTGAATTAAATTTGGACGGATCATTACGGTTGTATTGTGGTCCGGGCCCAGGACCGCGAGCCCACATGGGCTTTGGGCTAAACGGGCTGGCCCGTATGGTCCGGGCCCAAGCGGTCCTAGGAGCCCACTGTGGGCCAGTCCAGCATGGAGAGACCGCGATCCCGGGACTGTTTGCCCGGGACCGGCTGGCGGGCTTGGCCCGGTTTAGCCGGGCCCAACGGCTATTTTTCAAAAAAAAAAATTAAAAAAAAAATTGGCCTACGGTTGGAAGTTTAAAAACTAGCCGTTGGCCTGCCAATTTAGCCGTTTGGCTTTTTAAAAAATAGCCATTTGCCTCCCAAACTTTATTTTAACCCCCTTTTTATAATTACACTTTTCCCTATTCTCAACTATAAATACTCCCTCATTCTTTCATTTTTACTCACAAAATCATCAATCTCTCTCATTTCTCAAACTCAAATTGAAGTATTCAAGTCTTCACTCATCTCTCATTTCTCAAACTCAAATTCTTAATTCAAGTTAAATCATGCCCGGTGATTCTAGATTGCGCCCATTTGTTTTAGAACACTTTAATGTGGTAGAAGAAAATGAAGAAATTTACATAATAAAGTGCAAGAACTATGGTCGAGTCTACACTCTTCGTCCAAAGTTGGAGGGCACAGGCTGTTTAAGGAGGCATATTTAGAGTTGTCTTGCGCGTTCTCCAGACATTCGTATTTAAGATTTTAAGTTGATTTGAGACAATTTGTGTCGTATTATACTTTTAGTTTTGTTAGATTAATTTGAAGTACTATGTTGAAGGCATTGAACTTTAATTTGCAGCTTTGATACCGAGTTCATCTTTATATATATATATATATATATATATATATATATATATATATATGTTGAAATATTTTTGTCCTGTAGAGCCTGTTTTAGCATATAGTGGTCCTGCTATTTTTCCTAAATCTTTTATAAAATTTCTTGCATAATGTACTATTCCTAAAAACTTTTGTAGTTCTTTAGTATTGTCTAATTTATCTGGCATTTCTAGAGCCTTTTTAGCTATATGAGGTTGTAATTTAATTTTTCCATCCCCTAAAACTACTCCTAGAAAATTGATATAATTTTTACATAGTTCCATTTTTTTTTTACTAATTATTATTCCATTATCTACAAATAATCTAAATACTGTATGTAGATTAATTTGAAGTACTATGTTGAAGGCATTGAACTTTAATTTGAAGTATTAAAATGTAAACTTTAATTTGCAGCTTTGATACCGAGTTCATCTTTATATATATATATGTCTTAATATAGCTAANATCAATAAAATTTAACCATCTTCTTCTACTACTATTCTTTGCATTTATCTTTTGGTGAAACTTAACTATAGCTTCACAGTCAGTTCTAATTGTTACTTCTTGTTTATTCAATATGTATAATTTAAAACTATTTAATCCGTATATTACAACTAAAATTTCTGCATCCTATACTACTCATATTTCCTTTTTCTCTGTATTTACCACTTTGGTAAGCACATATTTTTTCTGTATTCTTATCACTATATTTATTTGGTTTTGCCTTCAAAACTGCTCCCCATCCTTCAAAACTCCCGTCTGTTTCTATAATTAAGTAGTCTGTTTCTAATGGCATATTTAAATCAGGAATATTTTTTATTTTTTCTTTGATTTTTTGTACTAATTTAATGTCTTCTATGTTGAAATGTTTTTGTCCTGTAGAGCCTGTTTTAGCATATAGTGGTCCTGCTATTTTTCCTAAATCTTTTATAAAATTTCTTGCATAATGTACTATTCCTAAAAACTTTTGTAGTTCTTTAGTATTGTCTAATTTATCTGGCATTTCTAGAGCCTTTTTAGCTATATGGGGTTGTAATTTAATTTTTCCATCCCCTAAAATTACTCCTAGAAAATTGATACAATTTTTACATAGTTCCATTTTCTTTTTACTAATTATTATTCCATTATCTACAAATAATCTAAATACTGTCTGTAGATGTCCTAAATGCTCTTTAATATCCTTACTAAATACTAATATATCGTCTACATATACTAAAACAAATCTCTTATATTCTCCAAATATACTGTCCATTTTGCGTTGAAAAATTGGTGGAGCTGTTTTTAGTCCGAACGGCATTACGAACTATTCGAAATGCCCTTCTGGACAAGTAAATGCTGTCCATTCAATACTTTCTTCATGCATTTTTACTTGCCAATACCCTGATTTACAATCAAACTTACTGAATATCTTTTTTCCTTATATTCTATTTATCAGTTCTGTTTTGTCAGGTAACTTATATCCGTCTGTTTTAATGTTATCATTAAGTCTCTTATAGTTTATTACCATTCTTGTTTTTCCTCTTATGATTTCACTGTGATTTCTAACCATGAAGGCTGCTGACCTATGTCTAGAAGTAGATCTCCTTATCACTCCTAGGCTCATAAGTTCTTCAATTTGATTTCTAAAGTCTTTTAAATCTTGATTTGTAGCTTCTATTGAGGCTGTTTTAATTATATATTCTGGGTTAATTATATCTAATTTACACATAACTTTATTATTTTCCCAATGTTTTAAAGGTTTTCTCCTATTATTTCTATTTCATCTAATATTTTTATTATATTATCTAGATCCTTTTCATTTTTTATTATTCCTATTTTTTGTATTCCTGTTTTAAAATTATATAACTCTGTTTCTATATCTACTAGAGTATAGTCTTTTTTTAATATATCTTTATCTTCATTTTCTTCTAGTATTAAGGTTTTAGATTCTTCTTTAATCTTACAACATGTATTTTTATCTTTACATTCCTTACAACATTCTTTTTGATTTTCTTGTAGGTTTTTCTGGTTTGCATTCAATCGTGTCCTTATCCTGGTTGCAGTTTCTATTGTTTGTACTGGTGTATGTGTAATATTTTTAAAAAATATTACTCCATCCCNGTATTAATGCACTAAGCTTTTATCGAATATATATAAAAGCTATATTCGATATAAATAAGCTATATTCGATATAATATTAGCTAATGCACTAATACTTAGTGCATACCCTAATACAAAATCTACATTTATATTTAAGTCTCTTACCTATATTTTATCTACCTTGTAGCTAGGTTTATAGAAATCTAAACATGTGTTTATAAAGCTAATCTGAGATTTATCTACATAATGTCTGTATATATTGTGGGTTCCATCCATCTGCATAGCTGCAACTGGCTTATCTAATGTTTTAATTAAATTTGGTGGAACTATCTTCTTATTTATTATACATCTTGTGCATCCGGAATCTACTAAGGCTAACGTTTCTATTTCGTAATCCTCTATTTTGATTCTTGCTAAGATTTTTATTGTACTTAATCTTTTATCTTCATTACATATTAGCGTGTCATAATTTTCTATCCTCATTAGTTCCTCATCTACCTCTATTATCTTTTCTCTGTTGTCTTCCAATTTCTGTTTTCCTTTTTCTATTTTTTGTATTCTTTTTTCTAATTCATCTATTCTAGTTTCTAATGCTATTATCCTCATATTCATAGTAGAATCATTTATCTCTTCGTATCTTTCTTCTTTGTATATTTTTGTTTTAAATTCCTTTTCTATGCATGAAATACATCTATATACGTCTTAATATAGCTAATGTTATATCGAAATTCGAATATAGCTTATATACTATACACTTAGTGTATCTATAATACTATACTACTATATACAATCTTATATAAGGCAATATACTATATACGACAATTTCTTGTAAATTATCTAAATTATATATAGTGTGTGTATATATATATAAGCTATATAATTTACAAGAAATTACCTTAGATAAAAAATATTAAAAAAAATAGGCCAGGCCCTCTAAGATATAAGCAATTTATATATATATAAAAGATTTAAGTCACAATTATATAATATAATTTACAATAAATTGCCTTAAATAAAAAAATGTCAAAAAAAAAAATAGCCCGGAACAATTAGGCCCGTTTAGGCCCGGCCCACTTAGCCTGGGCCCATGTGGGCCGATCCCACCCTCCAGGACCGTTAAGCCCGAGAACGCTTGGGCCGGCCCGCCAGAGCTCGAGACCATTTGGCCCGGCCAGTTTAGCCCATTTAGGCGCGGGCCACAATACAGCCTTACGGATCATGAATCAATAAATGAATCATTCTTAATATTTTCAAAGTTTGCTCAAGTTAAAATGAATAGATTAAAATGGAAGAGTCATAATCTAAAATGGAAGATGAATTGGAAAATAGACAAATGGTACAAATAAGAGAATCCAACTTGACCAATAGAATCCAACTTTTCTTCCTTTTCGACCGAAGTAAAAAGGTAATTTATTTCTCACAAATTATTAGCTTAAATTCTTTAAAACTGATCCAATTTTCAATCTCCAAATTTGAATTTTTCCGTTACTTTTTTGCAATTTTCAGTTTCTTACATTGTTTTCTTGGTTTGGAAAGATTTAAAAAACAAGGAAAAAGAAACTTTAGGTCATGATTTTATTTATTTCCTATCTTTATCTTTTATATTTGTCGGAAGGAAAACTTGTAGGGAAACAACTTAAAATAGAGCAAAAATTATATATGGCTAAACATTTTTTCTTCTTATAATTGATGCCAAGGGGAAAAACCATGAAAAAGAAGTACATTGATCTTGAGGATTACCAACAGCTCATATTTGCACTCACGTGGTTTTTTTCTTTTTTCTTTTTTGCCTTTTCCTTTTTTCACTCAATGAAACATTGGCAAACAGAAGACAGTCTACTCCGACTCAGATTCCATGTTTCCCATAGCTTTTAGCCCTCTTGGTCTCTGCAAAATTACGAAGAAATATTCTATTATTCTAACCCCAAAATAGAAATAGAAATGGAAATTATTAATTTTGACAGCCAAATAAAAAAATGATACCTTCTTGGTTACTTTCTTCTCTCTAACTTCATATCGCTCTAAGGACAAATCACAAAGCCATGCCCCTGGACTTATCAGCTACATAATTGGCATACGAAGCTTATTAGTTGATTAATTAAATATTATTCTATAGCATTTTTCATACAAATTATACGTAATTACGGTTATAATAACATGGGAAAGGGAAGGGTCCATAAGAACCTAACATTAAAACTTATAGCCATATTAATATGTTATTATTAATACTATTCAAATCATTGAAGATAATATGCCTAGAGTTGTTCCAAGTTTTTGTCCTTTCCGAGTCGGGTTTAAATTAAATTATCTTTTAAGCTAATTCACATTAAAAAATTAATGTTATTCAAAGTTTTACCAAACATTCTCCAAAATTTTAGTGGTGCCCCAGTATACGCAGAAGAATCCGTGCCTAAAAGCTAACACGTGTCCCCCCAAAACTCCCACTTGCCGTCCTTATAGCTCTGTAACACTTTTTTATCCTAGCTATTTGTGTGTCCATGAGAAAAAAGCCAAAGCTACGCGTCCATAAATATCGTAGCCCCACCAAATACCACTACCCAAAATACAATTCCTTTTTTTTGTTAAAATAATAATTAAGATACCACAAACGTAGTCCTTTTTTTTTTAACGTACAGTCCATTTGGTTATTTCGACGAACCTATTCAATATAAATCTGATTTAGTACAAAACTTTAATTAACAGCAAAACCCAAAATTTGTTAAATGGAATAACTTAGAATAGAACTTTCTTTTTCTCAGAAATATTTTAACTTTAATTGGTTTAGATTGAGCTCAAAACATATAACAGAAAATGTTACTATCATGACCCTATTACCAAAGTTTATTGCGTAAAAGTTAGGGGGAAAAAGTTAGAAACAAATAAAAATAAAATAATGGAGTAACGGAGAAGAAAGGAGAAAAGTAAAAGCTTACATTGAGGGTGCGTTGAATGAATTTGGCTCTTTTCTTGGGTCGTTGAGGTAGCTTAGACCCTTTGATGGCCATGAAATCCTCCTCTTTCTCCTTATTTGTTAAGCCGATCACAAACTTCGGTGGCCACACCATCGGAATCGCGTCGCTCCCTGATGAAGACCCACCTCCTCCGCCTTTCTTGCTATCGTGCGCTGTTTCCGACGATGCAGACCCGCCCCCTACACCGTGGTGATGGTGGTTGTTACTAGCATCATCATTATTGTTTGTCTTACTGTTTTGGTGGTGGTTGTGGTGGTTAACGTGCGCACTACCTCGCTTATCGTGCGCACCCACTTTGTCCGGAGAAGCCATCCCTCTTAACCCGTTGCTCCTTTCTCTCATCGCAATTGTACTCTCTGGATTCCTGTGAATAACAAAAACCCAATTCGTCATATAACAATATAAAAACAAAAAGCACTTTTCCTTTTTTTTTTTATTGTTAAAATAAACAAAAACTTTAGCCAATAGTGTAATTACCAAAATAACCTTAGCGTTGGTCTAGATCTGAGATTCGTCAAATGGGTGTTTTGGGGAAGGTAGATGGGAACTATAATGGAGAAACTAATAAAGGAGAGAAAGAAGATGGACCTGTGAAAGTGAATCCAATGTGCACAAAGAGAGAGAAAGAATATGAATAATGGGTATAGTAGTGGATTATTAGTCCCAGATTGGAAGAAGGAAAAAAAAAAAAGGCGAAAGGGCAAAAAGTAGGGTACAATGGCAGAGTAGGAGCCGTCCGATTGGAATTGTAGAGAAGGTTACGTGTCTTGATTACAAGATTGGAATAGTAATGGCTGTGGGATGGTATCTATTGTGAAGAAAAGGTGGACCCACATACCTAAGCCCCTTCTTGAGTATGACAATTTAAAAGTAGGAATTTCTTCACCTTCACATGTACTACAATCAACTCAACATATATATATATAATCAAATTAATTTTATAGATAAATTTTCTTTTACTTAACTTATATTGTAAGGATAAGAATAACATATTCAGTATTATCCCACATCACGGGATCTAGAAAAGATAATATGTACGTAAACCTACGTAAACCTTACCCCTTCCTACCTACCTTCTCATTTCTGAGGATAAAGAGAGAGATTGTTTTCAATAGATTCGTCTTTAACCTATAACCTATATTGTGGAGACGTTGAAACTATACCTTGGTGCATAACATATATTATATTTTTAAATATATCCTATGACATGACAAGAAAGAGTAATTATGTCCACAAAAGCTTTAAGGGGATAAGAGCAAATCACATCTTTTTTTTTTTTTTCCATTCACTAAATCTAATATGGAGGAGAGTAACAGCCGAGAGAATTCAGACAAAGTAGTCAGAAGTGGTAGGATCTGAATGTTTTAAAGAACCCAATCTTATATGATCAACACCCATCTAAAAAAGAGCAGGAAAGCACAAAGAGAGACAATGTCAAAGTCACTTGATTTGATTATTCAACCCAAACAGAACCAGTTATTTGACCAAGAAAAAAAAAGATCCAAATGGAGAGGGGAGCAAGAAAGAGCTAAACATCACATACAGTTTATCAGCCAAATAATATATTAAGGACCAATTATTTAATGTAGTAATCCACCTCATTCAAGCAATTGTGACGGATCAATGACATTAGCACTTGCGTTCAATCATTTCATTCATAATCCTTAGGGGTCGTTTGGTATGAGGTATAAGAAGTATGAGGTATAAGAAGGTATAGTGCTGGTATATTTTATACCACTTCAATACTTCGTTTGGTTAACAAACGAGGTAGTATAAGTTATCCCAGGATTAAAATTAATACCGGGATAACTTATACCTTATAGAGGGTGGAGTAATTAGCACCGGTATAACTAATATATTCTTCTTACAAATTATGCAATTGTCATATTTAATATATAACATACCAAACAATGGATAAAAAACAATCCCACCATAACTTATCCGGCTCCCGTTGGAGCATTCTGAAAATGGGTATCAAGCTTACAAAACGTGAGCACCCACAATAAAATATCCAGCGAAGAAAAGCTCATCCACTATAACCCCAGGCTCACGAGTCTAGTTGTATCACTGTAAATTCTCCGCACTAACATTTTTACTGCCTCCTTTTTCTTTTCTTGACCCCTCAACGTAATAGAATTTCTTTATAATAATAATAAGTTACTAACCCACCCTTCAAGCCGTACAATAATACCAGCTCATATAGTGGTTTAGATACCAACTTTATGTTGTTTGAACCCCTATGTTGTCAATACCCTGTTCATGTCCACTCAGTTTTAAAAAAAAAGTGATTTTAGCTTTTGCACATAATGAAAAGTGTGCTACATATTTGTTTAAATTGGCTACGATTAATGCTTTAAGCTTTTTCCAAACTTATAACTAAATATTTGATATGAGTTTTACATATAGAGCATATATGTCTGAAAATTGTACTACATACTCCTCTTTTGTAAGTAAATACTCTCTGTGTCCAAATTTATTCGATTTCCTTTCTCTTTTTAGTCTGTCATAAAAAGAACAATTAAATTATAAAAAATAATTTAAATTCATACTTCTCATTTACAGCCTTAAAAACATTTATAATTCGCAGTAGACCACAAATTTTAAAAGTTTTAGGACCCTTTTGTCCATAGATAATTTTTCCTTTTTTCGAAATTCCTTTTCAAAACTGTGTTTGTCCATGAAATTTTACAAGTTTTTGGAAATTTTTCGAAAATGAAATTTGTTTTTGGAAATTTCGAAAATGAATTTTTTTTTTAAAACACGCTTTTCTAAATTTTTAGAAACTTTTGTTTCCTCATTCACTTTCAAAACTGTGTTTGTCTACGAAATTTTGCAAAGTTTTTGGAAATTTTTCAAAAATGAATTTTTTCTTTAAAATACACTTTACAAAATTTTTAGAAAATTTTGTTTCCTCATTCACAAAACTGCAATATTTTTTCAAGTGAAATAAATATTCAAATATTATTCTTCAACTTAACTCAAAATATTACTACTTTTTTTCAAGAATTACAATTTTTTTGTCCAAACACCTGCTAGTTTCTTGTAAACTTCGTGCCCACCCAAACTACAGAGGAGGGAGTAATTAATAAGGTTAAAAAAATTTTAAAAAAAAATTAAAAATTTAGATACTAGAAAATGAAGAGAGAAGGAGCACTACACATTAGATTACGATCCATTAATCTGCCGTTACTGAACTCACAGCACGCCGGAGCGTGTACAATCACGCGCTAAACAAGCATTTTCAGAAGGAAAAAAGGAGAAAAAAGTTTACCTGAGATTCCGATGGGAAGGGGACGTCCCACGCTGCCGGAGATTCAAATAACCGTTACTATTGGCAGTGTTAGTGGTAGCGGGTTGATTGCCGGAGTCCTTATTTAGATCAGATCTCACAACCCGTCGATCAACTCGAACCGGAATTCTCTGAACCGCCACTGAATCGGCCGAGTCATTATTATTACTTTTATGATTAATATTCTTATTCTGTACCTTCATGCACCGAAGTCTTTTCCGGTTCCCCCACTGTAACACGAAATCAGACGACGTCGTAGCAGCAGCTGACTTCGTCTCTTTCTGATGGTTCTGAGCTGATCTCAGTAGTGATCCGTCTCTCGAATTTTTATCCATCTCTGGTTTTTATATACACCACGGGCACCTGTAATATCCAATCAAACACAAATATTAATTAACTCAGGTTAAACTTTTTCCATTACTATTAACCGCAGTTAACTTACCACTAATTATAGCAACAAAAAGAAGAAAAGTGTATTATTTTTTTTTGGAAATTGGCAGAAAATAAATTCGTGATCAGAAATTGAAAGTTATCCTATCTAAATTTAGGAAAAATTGTCCAAATGCAGAAAGATAAAATTTATGAAATCCGATACAGCTCTGGTAAAATCGTACAAAACAAAAGTAAGATACGTGAAAACTGCACTATCTGTGTGATAGCTGAGAAAATCTCAAGGAAAATTGTAGATTTTCTAGCACTGAGCATCTGAAAGAAGGAAAATGGATGCTTTTTCATTTCAAAATATATGAAGGCCAAACAAAGTGAAAGCAAAAATCCATGTTTGACGAAACAAAAAGATATTCGGAGAAACAACATTTCCCCAAATACTCTAAATGTTCTTCGACATTTCAGAAATTGGGAAGAAAATCCTCTGAGTTGCAATGAAACCAAAAAAAAAAAAGAACATATGATAATCAACATTTCACCCTTAGTTACAAAAAATTCTTGACAATTTTCAGAATCGGAGGAAAGGATTATTCCCAGAAAAAATGGAAACAGAACCCCACTGAGATTAGAGAAAACAGAGTTTACTGGAATTTTTTTATAGGACTGGTGAAAAAAGCTGAAGTTTCGGAGATGAAAATCGACAGAAACCGGCAGAGGGAGCTCACAACCTCATGAAAATGGCACAATTGAAGGGAAAGAGGGCTAGCCAGCAAGAACAACATCGCATTAGCCGAAATCTTTACCTTTGTATAAAACGGTTTGTCCCTCTTTTATTAGACTCCAAAAATGGAAATTGATGCTGGTATGGAGCTATCGTCACTCGGAAAAGCGTCTCAGAAAAGACTCTATGGCAATCAGGATCCGTCAACAGTGTGCTACAAGAAGAACAAAACGTAAGCTTTTGTCATTGAAAAACGCAAAATCAAACTCTTCAACTGAAACCGGTTTTCACCGAAAACTGATATGCCTACCTTATCTGTTTTGATTTTGCCTCATACCACCATCGATTGGCTGAGAAAATCTTTTCTTTCTTCGTCTGTGAGCTCCGTCAATGGCGAATTGAATCGGGTTCGCTACCAGATGAACCGATTTGAGAAGAATTGCGATTTTAATACTCTGTAAACTCAATTTATTAGTCGAAAAATTAGAGATTCTTCAGTAAAAATGACGACATTTCAGCGCTTCATTCATCAGATTTCGAGTTCAATTCCGATCTTAAAATCTTTCAACATGATCTCTATACTTCAGATTTCTTCCAATATCTCAACTGAATCTCTCCAAATGCAGCGCCTGCCCAACAAAATTACAGAAAAAGCAAAATTTCATGTCAATTACAAAACTTTACCAGAGAAAACTCAATGAAAATCGAGTAACAGTCCAAATTACAGACCTCAAAGAAACATAATCCCACGACCCTAAATCTTCACAATCAGCTGAAGAATTCAAACCTCAAAAATCCTTCAGAAGAAAACCTCAAGCCTCTTCAGAATGTATCTACAGATCAAAAACAAGTACCGATATATGTAAATTTTCCAGATTAAACTCATAGACAATAAACTACACATTCGAATTTACAAAGTTGTTCATCTCGTCTGCGGTTTATTTCGAAGAAAAGATGGAATTACAGAGTTTTAGATCTTCACGCAATTAACAATTCAAGACATTTTCACTCACCATAATTTGGAGGAAAATTTCCGGAGAAATTTGAAAGAAAATTATTAGAGAAAAATTGCAGAGAGAAAAAAAGTGCTCTCACTATCTTCTTCTTTCTCTCCCACTCTGTGATACAACAAAAATAGCCTCTCTGGCCTTTGAACCCATATTTTTATACAACCCCCGTTTCAACTTCAACACGCCGTTTAATCTCTGGCCGTCGATATTTTTACGAACGGTGTAGAGCTCTCCTCGTTTGAACCGTCATTTCGTTCCGTTACGGCGTTACTGTGCCCCACTTATACGCTGCATTTTCCTCGACGACGTTAAGTTGGTCGACGGAATCTTTATGAGGCGTCAGTTTAATAATTTTAATTGTCAATATTTTAATCATGGACCTTTCTCGCTAACCAGTTCAATGGCTCTTTAGTGTGATTGACCTAACCTTGGTGAGTTAAGTTAACTATGGTTAGCTTTATCTTAGTTTTGGCTGACTTGGAGGCCGAGACCAAGAGTCTGGACAAATTCTTTAGCAAATTCAAAAGTTTCTCTCTTCTCTTCTATTCTCATCGTCCGTCAGTCCGTACGGTACGGTATTTACATATTTTGATTCGATACTTAGGTATTCTATTTTTTAAAATACTATACCAATATCGTATCTAATTATATTTGGTATGATTCGGCTTTTTTCCTTTCGGTTTCTATTTACTCTGTACGATAACTTTGGTTTGTTCAATTTCAATATTAACTAATACATAAAGCCATAAACTGATTCTTAATTAAAGTACTCACAAATATAAAAATAAAAATGTTCTAAGCTCACATGACTATTACAAAATCGTTGTCTAAAACTAGCAAGTAACAATCCACATAGAGAAAAAGGTACATAAATGAAAAAATTTAATCATTGAAAATGTCTTGTTACTTGCTTAGAACTAATTTATGAAGTTAAAGAATACAACAAGGACTAATCAAACAGATACAATTCAAGAAACACCCTAAAACCGTAAAAGTATTATGTTAAGATGCTTGACATCCTAGAGAATAAGAGTCAAAATATGCAGCTTACCTTGTTTCTCCATTTTCCTAAAGAAGTACATGGGATTTACTGCCAGCCTCAACATGCATACCAAAGAAAAGTATTATCTAACTTAATATGTTACAATCAATACGTTGTGTATTGTTTAGCTTATTATATATTTCGGTACTGTATCGGTATTTCAATATTATTTTTGTAAATACCAATTCCATACCTAACATCAACTTTTTAAAAAAAGTTTAAACCAAATATTATACTAAATACCAAATACTAAAATTTTTGGTTTCAATTATGCACAGCCCTACTTCATCCACCTCACTTCTTTTTTGTTCCTTTTCTTTTTCTTCTTCTATTTGTCTTTCTTTCCATTTTTTTTCTTTAATTAATACTATTCCACTACGCCACCCACCATTGTGACTTTGCTGCCACTATCACCGGACCACATACCAGCATCCTAGCTGGAGGTGGAGTTACAGGGATAGGGTTTAGCCTACAATTTTACCCTGGGAAGTCAACTAGTGACCTTGATTGTCCAGAATCCAGCACATTTGGCGAGGGTAATGGTGGAAGTCCTGAATAAGGCCTTGGCTATCTTTGGTCCATGCCTATGGCAAACGATGACGAACAACGATAACATGCAACCGAACATCGATCTACCTCTGCTCAACAACCGAATGTCCCAAGCCTTCCAGTCAATACCATTCTTCCCACATTCAGCAGCGTCGCCGATCTTTGTGACCATCGAACCCCGAATCCACCAGGCCCCATCATTTTCTGCTCCACCAGAGAAGAGTTTGTCACCACCACTGGGCAACATCACAAGGAAAATCAACAATGCCCTAAATCTTCTGAAAAGGAAAAGCCCACCAAAAATGAAAGGAACAACCTATGGTCCCCTTCGCACATACTCTCTACTACTGGACTCAATCAAGGCGATAGAGTTCAGTGTGAAGATCAGTGAACTACTGGTGTTGTTGTGTCCAAAAACAGTGACCAAATATGGACTGAGCCTAGTGTCTCACCACTCCCAAGGAGTGACCAAGCCGTTTTTCAACCTAACTCCAGTTCTCAGCATGAGGGGAAAGAACCAAGCGACTCCAAAGAGGACTCCACATGGAATGGAGAAACCTTAGGAAAGCTAGTTCCCACACACCCAATCACCCCTAATGAACTACATCATATGGAATGTTAGGGGTGGCAACAATACTGAATTCAAGAGGCACTGCAGGGATATGGTCAAGCTTCATAAGCCAGTTCTACTTGTACTACTAGAGACCAAGATGGCTAACCACAAAAAACTGACAGAGGAACTGCAGTTTGACCTGATAATCCAATCTCCGACTATTGGCTTATCTAGGGAGATCGTGCTTATATGGAAGAGGATAGTGTTAGTGTGGAAGAGGATAGTGTTAGTGTGGAAAGAGGATCGTGCTTATATGGAAAGAGGATAGTGTTAGTGTGGTAGATTGTTGAAGGACCTGGTCGAACCAGGGATGATGAGATTGGTGGATGCTTTAGCTGCACAAAGTTGGGAGGACATGGTCCTTGAAATGGATGGTAGGCTAGCCAGAAATGAACTGATTGAATTTATGGCCGATGCTGCTGTTAAGGATGGAGTTGTCACTAGCCTGGTGAAAGGAGTCAAAGTGAAGTTTGATGCACGCAAACTGGGTGAGATCCTGGACATACCTATTGAAGGGTATGATGACTATACAAGGCAAAGGTGGCCATGTTTGGATTCCCTCCCTACTGCTCTTGAAATCACTAGGAGATTCTGTGACTCTGAAGAAGTGCGCCAGATTTGTGCAGAAAAGTGAAATGAGGCCTGAGCACAAAGTCTTGTTTGAATTTGTCAACAAGTGCTTATTGCCCAGACAAGAGAGAAGGCACACTGCAAATTACATGGGCCTGGTTCTTATAGAGTGTCTGGTGAGAGGAAAGCAAATCAACTGGCCTGCTTTCATTGTTAAATTGCTAGACAGGGTCATCAATGGCTCCAAGGCTCATGCCACTCCATATGGCTTTATACTGACCACAGTTCTGGACAGGCTGAATGTGCCTTTGAAGAAATGGGAAATGGCATCAAGCCAGGGACATTTTGGCATTAAGACTCTTCTGGCTTGTGACTATCAGTCAATTCCATCCCAGTTGAAACTGGTTTATCTCTGAAGACACCCATCAACAGCAAGGTTAGGGCATTGGTTCAGGAATGTGGAACTAAAGATGCTGAAATTGCTAGGCTCAAGGCTCGTGTGGTTGAATTGGAAACTGAGAGGGATGGCCTTAGAACTGTAGCTAGCAAAAGAAAAGGAGAAGAGTGATGGAATTCTTCAGAATATGCTGAACCTTCTCCAAACTCAACCCTCTAGTTCCTCCAAGACTTAGGTCTCCTAGTACTTGTCTTCTGAACCAGTCTAGTACCCCCAGTGACCCGAATTAGGAATTTTTCTATTTTTTTGCTCATGTTTTGAAAGTTTTTCTTTCTTTTTGTGGTTTGTTTGTGGAAACATATCTCTATCAATGACAACTGCTATTTTTTCTTGTTCAATGATTATTCCGACCTTGATAGTTTAAATATGTTTGTTGATTATTGAAAATTGCACCATGATTTCACTTGCAGTTGCCCCAGTGGCCATGAGTACCTTTTAAAATCTGGGATTCACATTAAGTATGCAACTTTTTGATGATGCCAAAAGGGGGAAGATATTGTGATATTGTGCTTTACACATTATTCTGAATCAGTGATATTTATAACCTAATTAACCCGGTCCTTGATGAGAAGTAAATTTTCTAAGTCTAGTGTTGATGGTTAAGCTGAGTTCCTACAGGTCTTTTGATCAGTAAAAAGCACAGAGTTTGTCATCATCAAAAAGGGGGAATTTGTTGGCCCAAGAACAGGTGAAGTTTGAAGAATGACAAATGAACTTCGTCATGGACCAGGTCCATCATGTGAAGCACAGTGATTATCAACTTACACATGTGAGATGCACGCGAAGGAGATAAGTCCCATTGATCAAGCAGCAATATCTCCTGATCTGATCGAAAAGGTTGCATATTGGATAAGGAGAGAAAGTCTCCTTATGTGAAGAGAACATAATCCGGATAAAAGATAGTGTTGGAGTTTGTGTTGTTCAAGGACTCAACTTCGATGGAAGATCAGCAATTGAGTCTCAATCAAACTCTAATTACTAACTCATTAAATAATAGTGATTGTTCTCTTTTACAGGTATTGCACATACACAGAAGTTAAACTAAATTGAGAGCAAAAGAGCAAGGCGGTTTTGCAAGCAATTTATGTGAGATTTGAGTGTGCACTCCTGAAGCTACTTGAACGAGATAGAAGAACCAGTTCCATTATGTTTTTTCTTATTCTAGTTCAATTGTAGTAGGTGGTTTAAAGTTGTACCTTTCAGCTTTCATAGAAGCAATTGTACTAGGTACTTTGAGTGTTCAAGTTATAGGCTAACTTGAAGTTGTCGCAACAGTTGAGGCTGTGTGCCACAACGGGATTAGAGTTAATCCTTAGGTTTACAAAGAGTTTTTGTAAACGCTGTTTTGGCTCAGTAATTTTAGTGGAAGTTTGGGAAAATCCTACTGAGTAGTAGGTCGTGGTTTTTTTCACCTTTTGAGCCAGGTGTTTTCCACGTAAAAATATATGTGTTCTTTATTTTATGTACTTTTAATTCCGCAAACAGTAGTAGTTAGAACACCTAGAAGAACCTGGTTCTTCTAGATCGAAAATTGGGTACCACACAAATCACCCCCCCTCTTGTGTGGTATTGACGCTTAAACATCATAAACCTAGAAAATAACCTGACCAACGTCAATAGTAGGAGGATTTCTGGAAGTTCAAATCTAGGGTTAATTGGCTTAATGATGGGGATGCCAATACTAGATTATTCCATACATCCACTCTCAATAGAAGAAGAAGAAATATGATCTTCTCCCTTAAAAAAGAGAGTAGAAACTGGCTCTATGATTAAGGAGACATCAAGACATCTATATTGTCCTTCTTCAAGAATCTCTATACCTCCTCACACTCACAAGCTCCCATCTCTACCACGAACCACCTGGCCATGACCCATACCCTATCT